CTCACACCTGCATATGGTTGGTCCTTCGCCAAGATGGTTCATGGTTTTCTGGCCGAAAGGTGTTCCTGGTCTTCCCTCTTCGCTTCCGTTTTTCTGTTTCTGCAGCCGCTTCCCCTCTCAGAGCTAAAAGCACAACAAACGCTCTAACCCAGGTCACTGGCCCGAAACAGGCCAGGAGGGAGGCCCGATGGCCCCAGGAAGGGCAATCGGCCATCGGGCCCGCCAGCACTGGTGGTCACGGCAATGTCAAACAATGCGACCAGCTGATCTGAAAACGCTAAAATGTGCAGCTGGTAATGCGACAAACATGCATATTTGTTTTAGCAAGTCTAGATCTCCTGTTGGGCCTAACACAACGCTAAAACTGATTACCGACGCGCCAAGTTAAGCAAATATAATCATCATCATCATCATCACCAGCATCAGCATCGTCATCAGCATCAGCATCATCAACATCACCATCACCATCACCATCAACATCATCATCATCATCATCATCATCAGCATCATCATCATCATCATCATCATCACCAACCACAGCATAATCATCATCACCATCACCATCACCATCACCATCATCATCATCATCATCATCATCATCATCATCATCATCACCCTCACCCTCACCCTCACCCTACTCGCACCCCTCCTCCGCACACTACTCCTCACCCTGGCCGAAAAGATTCCTCATCCTCTCCGTCTCCTCGTATCCTCCCTCCTGCTCCCCTTCATCTCTACGGTCCCGTCCCCCCGTGCTACCCCCAGACTGCCCCTGCAGGAGAGTTCGCCGCGATTTGTCAAGCAATATTTTTCTCAGGAGAACCTTCTGACTTTTACACTGACGCTCAGCTGGTCAAAGACCACTTCGATCGCCCTCAGATTGATCAGCTGTCTCCCAAGCGCTGCTACAGTGGGTTCTCCCTCTCTCTTCTGTCTGATATATGGAAGGTCCGCTCTTTGAACAAAGTGAAAGCTCATCTTTCACTGGACGAGTGGACCGACAATCATGATAAGATGTGCCGCTTTGGAAACCACCATGCCGATGTAGGAGCTAAAAGTGCTTCTGCGGGGGAGGGGTATCTTGGGCACCCACAGCCGTCGGAGGATGACACGTCTAGGCTCGATCTCGACATTAAGTTTTCCAGAGCCGTGGCGTTGCTGTCTGCGAAGCTGATGCCGTTGTGGCCTAAATTAGACCTCCAAGACGTTGTGTGGATTCAGCCGCCCAAGGACCCCCCCCAGGTGGTGAATTCTGAACGATGCGATTGGCAGGCCATTCAGATTTCTGAGCTTGGGTCAGTCTCGGGGTTTTGGAAGTGTTCGGTCTGCGCTAAAGTCAGCCGTTTGTCTACCCACGGTCCCCCGCCTCCTCCTTCTAAATGCGTGCCTGTTCGAGGGCTGGAGACGCAGATTTTGGAGGCGCGGGGACATCGGTGTTTGACGCTCGCCTGCTCAGACAATTCATCCCTGGTGATCTGCACCAAATGTTATTCTTATTCTTCTCACGGTCGGACTTCGGGCCTTGCTGATGTCTGTAACGGCCCGACCAGATCTAAGAAGTACAATAGTTGGCACCCGATCTGTAAGGGCCTCCATCCTAAGCGTCCTGGTGTCTCGGTCGAGAGAGGGCCCTGGGCGCAGAAGGGAGGAGGCCCACAGGTCGGCGCTTCAGGTGCCGCCGCCTCGCAGGTGCTGGGCCCTCAGCGCCCCGCCACCGCCACCGAGGACCGTGGGGACGGGGTGGAGCGGGGAGCGGGGGGGGGAGCGAGCGTGTCGGATCCTGCTGGGCAGCAGGATTGGGAGGCTGACGACGAGGCCTCTCGCTTTCTTTTTCAGGATTCTCCCTCTCCTCCTCCTCCTCCCCCTCCTCGAATCGAGTTGCCCAGTGCCCCGTCCCCTTCTCGGCGTGGAGCAAGAGAGGCTTCTTTTGTCTCGGTGCTCGCACACCGCGACGAGGGCGACTCGAGTTCAGACTAATGCCTGGGGGAGAAGCAGCTAGCCACGGGGAATCCTCCAGCCAGCTGGAGATGTCTGCTGTGGCCTCCTGCCTTTCCTCTTCTTTTCAGGTGTTAGTAACCTGCTGGCATTGGCCAGCCAGCCTGCTCTAATTGTCTGGGCAGGCACCCTCCTTTGATGTTGATGTCAAAAAATCCTGCTCCCCTTCATTTCCTCTCCCCCCTCTTCCTCCACCTTCCCTTCCTTCTCATTCGGTCCTTCCCCCTCATCCTTTCCCTCCACATCCTTTTGCACCCCTCCTTGTTTTGCCTCTGCTCCTCCTCCGCCTCGTGCATCCCTCCTCCTCCTGTTGGCTCCGATGCCGTCTGTAACTGCTGGCCGAGCCTGCAGAGCAGCGGCGAAGAACAGTGCTGGGGCAACGTTGACACCAGCCAGCAGGCTGTGCCGTCTCCCTGGACACCTAGCAGGCGCCCTACCTGTCGAGCGGGATCGATCGCCCAAAACATGTCCTATTCCTCCGCCTCCTCCTCCGCATCCTCACCCG